AGTTACCTAGACAATTTTTGTCAAATTTTGAGATAATCAGATTTTTCACATTTTTCGAGGCGCGAGTGTCGGTTGACCTCAAAAATGTCCAAAAAATAAAAAATTCTAAAATTTTGTTATAATTTAAAGAAATTTCATATATAATATTTTGAGCTTGAACCAAAGTGAAATTTAATCATTTCGAGGCGAAAACGAACCTAGGAAAAAGGGAGGCGTGTGGCGCGACGTGGGCCAAGCGTTAAAATCTATAAATATGGACTAAAAAACTGATTTTCTGCAATTTTATTCTGCTGGGTTTGTTGGTTGTAACATTGGAGTTGAAGAGAGGAAAAAAAAAAGAAAACTTCTACCTTCTCTTTACGATCTACGGAGTTTTGCCGATCGAAATTCTTCGGGCCAAGTATTAAAGTCGATCTCCTCAATGAGGGCTACGCAACCATACTAAAAACGAAGAATTTCACCAAAGATTCAAAAATAAGATTTTGGGGGAAGCTTGGGTTTGAGCTTGGGATTAAGTTCTTGGAGGTTTTCTACATTGATNACCAGTGGAAGGCTCTCACTTGGGGCCTCAAGGATGAAGAAAATCCAACTTGTGGCTTTTAATTCACATTTTGTAAAACTATTGTGAAAAACTATGCTTTTGTAAAACATTTGCTAAGTTAGTTTTTGGGCATGTAATATATGTAAAAGAATTGTAATCGAACTGATATGGACTATTTTTAATGTAACCTTGCATGTTATTATATGAGTATGGATAAATAGACCCGGTGTGGTCAANAGTAGGCTCAATTCTAGTGTGAATTGGTAATTAAAAATTGCTAGTTTGTGATTTCTTGGAAGTTTTGATAATTGGGTATGTGGAAATCATTTATTCTAANATATTTTGGGTAGAACTCCCCGTACAAAGGAGACTCTGCCCGAATTTTGTTAAATTAAGGACCCCCGGTTTTGGGGGTGTCACATGAGATAATATCTTCATTAAATTTTTCACAATCTAGAGTGGTGGGAGATTCAACATCNTCATATGCTTATGATATGAATTACAATTGCAAATGCAAATGTTGATATGTGCTTATAATATATTGGCATTGGGGTGAATTATGAAAATTATTTGCTTAGGATGTAATTATCCATGACATGTGTTGAAATGTGGTAGAAATAATCNATTGACTATGCTCAAGATGTTCTTCACGCATAGTAATTATAACATTAGTCAATGCAATAAATTCATCTCTAATTTCAGAAAATATTTGGGCTACTTGGGCATTAACTTCCATTTGGTGTTGCATAAACTCGTAAAACGTAATTCCCAATTCTTGTTCGGTTTAAGCCCTCATATGTTGGATAGTGGCAAAATTCATTTGGTGGTGTGAGATTAGATGAAAAATTATAAAGTTTGTTCTCCCAATCATAACTTGGATAACTCGCTGGAATATAATGGTTGGGGTAAAATTTTTTNTCGCATGGGTTGCATGAAAAACTTGTGTCAGGTATAGCAAGAAGGGCTAGATACTCCCTCGGGTGAAAAACCCGGCTACTTGGTTCATACACTNAAAGTTTGTTCTCCCAACCATAACTTGGATAACTCGCTGGAATATAATGGTTGGGGTAAAAGTTTTTGGAGGCCAAAATTGAATTTGAACCTTCGCATGCAAAGTCTTAAATCATATAATTTAATGGGCACTCACATACTCATCTCAAATCTCACACACATTTTCAAAATTTAGGGCNAGTTTGTTCTCCCAATCATAACTTGGATAACTCGCTGGAATATAATGGTTGGGGTAAAATTTTTTGGAGGCCAAAATTGAATTTGAACCTTCGCATGCAAAGTCTTAAATCATATAATTTAATGGGCACTCACATACTCATCTCAAATCTCACACACATTTTCAAAATTTAGGGCGTTTAACACATTATCATAAAAATTAGGAAACATAACACAAAACACAAACTACAACAAACTATTTACAATCGAGACGACATACCTTAGCCCTAGCCCGTGATGAAATTCACGAGACTTACCTATGCCATCCCAAATCACCTTCGAACTNTGAGACGACATACCTTAGCCCGTGATGAAATTCACGAGACTTACCTATGCCATCCCAAATCACCTTCGAACTCGACGCTTAACCTTCCCCAGCAACGGCGCGAAAAATGCTTGACTTATTTCGTCATTCCTAATCTCCGAACATGAACCCTCAATGTGTATATGACTTATGTGTGTAAGGGAGTGTCACTCTCCCTCGGGTTTGATGCTAGAAATGGGGAAAACGTGTATGGATGAACAAAATGTGTGTGTGTGTACAAAAGTGCTTCCCAAGCGTAGAGAGACTTTCAAGTGTCGTGTTTTACTTGAAATGGGTATTCCAAGGTCGTCCCCTAAGGAAACGAAGGTGAATTGTGTGAAGGTGATTTTGTGAAAAATAAAAAGTGTAAAATCTTGAGTTTTGTGTTTTGGTGAGTTTTGTTTTGAGAGATATGCAAGAAAAACAAGTGTTGGTTAATCCAAAGAGGTCATTCTCATGGGAATGCCAAATCAACTCAAGACCTTCCTCCAATGGTGCCTAGATATTTGATTGATTCGTAGGAAGTGAGGGACTAAAATGGAGGTGAGGATAGCAAGAGGTACATTCCTCCAATTCTCCTAAGCCTAACTTCTGGTAGACCAAGAAAGGTAGGAGATTCACACTTGCACCCAAGTTTAGAATTGCTTTCTCAACCCAGTAGTCCCAAATAGTAATGGTAATGGTGGGACAACCAAGATCTTTGTACTTGGGTGGAGTGTAGCTTTGGAGAATAGTATTTACTTTCTCTGTCAAGAATGCCTTTTTTTGAACAAGCAAATTCCTCTTGACAGTGCACAAATCTTTTAAGAATTTAGCATATGTGGGCAGCTGTCTTATTGCAATTTCAAATGGTTAGGGTAGGGAATAGGAATGGGACATACTACCTCGTTAGACTCAACGACCTTGGGCAGCTCAAGTGACTCACTATCCTTGTTATTGCCCTAAGTCCCTTTTTCTATAGGCCTAGAGACTTTGGGTGGAATGGTTTTGTCAAATTCCTTACAACTCCGAAGAGTGGTAATGGACTTAAATTGCTCCTCATTGGGTGTAACCTTAGAGCTCTCAATCCCACGTTGACCCTTAGGATTTTCTTGGGATTAAGCAAGAAATTTTCATTTTTCATGTTGCATCATCCCCATTTTGTTGGTCATCTTGGTCATTTAAGACCTAATGTCATTTAGAGCTTGATTGGTTTGGTTATTCATGTTGGTCTGGATTTGAATGAATTGATAGAGAACATCCTCAATGTTTATCTTGTGGGTATGTTGGTATGGAGGTACATTGGCTTGCCGTTAGTTGGGTTCTGTACAAACCCTTGTGGGGGTCAGTGCATAAACTAGGGACTTGTAAACTGGAATGGATCAGGCATTGGCTAACTTGAAGGGACATACGGCATAGAGGTGGAGGGTTGAGTAGTGGTGTCATTTATACAACTAAAGTTTGGGTAGCTATGTCAACTTGGATTATATGTATTAGAGTAAGGAGAAATTTTTTTCCTTGGTTGGTTAAAGGCATTCACCTACTCATGGAGAATCTCTTTGTAAACTGGTAAGGTCAGGCAATCATTTATGGAATGCTCAACCGACTAGCATAAAAAACAAGGTTTCTCTTAATGCACACTTACCACCTCGTTCACCTTCCTCACCTCTAGGTTCTCGACTTCCCTAGACAAATGGGAAATCTTAGCCAATAGCTCATTGTGCTCTGTTAAAGCATATTTTTCGCCCCCCAACAAACTAGGAAGGAATAGAATGCTTTGATCGATTAGTGGGATCAAAAATATCCTAAGATTTAGCATTATCTGCCAAGCTATTAAAGTAATCTAGTGCTTCCTCGGGCTCTTTACTTAGAAATGTTTCATTACACATCATGTCTAAAAACTGGCAATGAGTTGTTATAATTCATTCATAGAAAAAACTCACCAACTTCCATGGTTCAAAGCTATGTTGTGGTACAACATTCAAGAGATCTTTAAATCTTTCACAGCAATCATAGAATTCATTAGATTTTTCAGAAAAGTTTTGCAGCTACTTTTTCAAAGCAGTTGTTCTATCAACTGGGAATAATTTCTTAAGAAACTATTGTTGCAAATCAGGCCAAGTAGACAAAGTTCTAGGCTTAAAAGAGTTTAGCCAAGTCTTTGCCTTTTCAATAAATACCAAAATGCCCACGAATTCAGCATTCAACGTTCAATTTTATCAAATACCACCTTATAATTTATTTATTTATTTTTTGGACAGACCTTATTGTTTAATTTAATTACATCTATAATTCACATTTTCTATAAAAAAAAAAAATTATTTGTAGGGGTGTTCAAATTTTCGACCGGCCGCAACTTCCTACCCTACCCGATTCTACCCTACCCTACTAAACGACTAGCTGTAAAAATCGGGTAGGAATGTGGAAGAGTTTTTGGTCTTCCGACAATTTTTGGGTAGAAATGCGGAATAACCATCCATTTCCGCATTCTTACCCTACCCTACCCGCAATAATTTATATATATATATATAAACTAAAAAAATTCTAAACCCTAACCACAGGCGGAGCAATTATGATTTAATGTATTTCGTATGGTTTAAGGTTTAAACTTAAATTAATTATTATTGTATCTGTGTAACAATTATGGTGGATTGATGTTCTTACTTTCTTGTGTTTTATTATAATTCTTGTTGTAGTTATTTTAGATTTTAATGTTAATTGATTTATTGTATTGTTAAATTGGTACATGTTATTTAATTAAATTGTTAAAATAATCTAAAAATTAATTGTTACAAAAATATTATCCGATTTCTTACCCGACTTTCTACCCAATTAATCGAATAAAAAGTCGGGTAGAAATATCACACCTATAGACCAAAAAAATATTCTTCAAATAAAAAAGATAGGAACACGAAAGAACGTATGCGTCGGGTTGAATGAACACCCCTAACAAATGGAAGCAGAAGGCCGTTGTCCTTTTCGTTTGTCACCCAAACAACATTCTTAAATTCCAAATCTACCTCTTTCTTTAAACAAGCAAAAGATGTTTGGTGGTGGTGGTGGGGGTAGAGACATCGAAACCTTAGGCCGTCTTACCCACATGCTGATCCCTCCTATACCACATCAACTCGATCAGGTGGCGATGGGGGGTGGTGGAGGTCGTGGGGGAGGAGGAGGAGGAGGAGGAGATGATGACGAGTTTCCGAGGAGGGATGAGAGGGTCCCACAGTGGAGTTACCAGGAGACCAAGGATTTTATTGGGATTCGTGCTGAGTTGGAGAGGGATTTTACGGTGGCGAGAAGGAATAAGACTCTGTGGGAAGTGGTGGCGGCGAAAATGAAGGAGAGAGGGTATAGGAGGAATCCCGAACAGTGTAAATGCAAGTGGAAGAACCTCGTCAACCGCTACAAGGTATTCTTATACATTCTTTGTGGTGAGTGTACGTATATATGTTACCAATGATGGATCTAAGGACGAATAATGCGACCGTTCTCGATTGATCCTCAAAAATTTCAAATTAAATTAAAAACGTGTTTGGTTGATTAGATTGTGTCAGGCATTTGTTGTGTCCTTTTTGTGTTGCCTTTTCAGTTGATTGATAGAATTGGAATTGCATTTCATTGGAATTTAAATGATAGATTTGGAATTTGATTAACATTTGAAAAACTGCTCTTTGATTTGAATTACAAAGTGAGGAGAAATGAATCTGTATCCTGATACCACTGAAATCATTTTGGAATGTTTATTCGTTTTGGGGCTATGGGGATTGTCCTAATGAAATACTTATAGCATTGAAGGAAATAGTGGCAAGTCCGTGCCTGACTGTTTGTTTGGGATGACATGAAAACATGTAGAGATTGGTTTTTTACGTTGGTTTGGCTTTTAGAGTTTGTTTTTGTTGCATTAGTCGATTGTCGATGGTTAAGTACTTTTTGTGGCTGGCTTCATAGTTGAATTCTGATTGAGAGCATAAGAAATGCAACTTGGAAATTATTTAGGGAACCTGATAAAGGATGCTTTTTTAAGTAGCTTCTTTTTGCAATGTTGTATCAAAAAATAAAAACTTTAAAAAGAATAGAAAAAGGAGGAGTGGAACTGCTATTTGAAATTTACCACTTGCTTGGATGGTCTTCAAAATCGTCTCAACTTAGGACTAGAGGGAAACAAACCACATTAGCAACACACCCCACATAATTCTCTCCTAATCAAGCCTTGATTTGCTAGAAAATCATTCGTTTGAACTAGAACTAGTATTTCTGCCAATTCATTTGCAAGTTACACCCAAGTTGTTGGGATAAGAGTTTTAGTCTAATATCAATTTATTTATTTGAGGCTACTGATTGGTTGTGGAGGTATTGGGATTGTGCGTTAAATACAATGTTAGTGTTGATGGAAATGTGGGCAACTATTTTAAGATGACATACAACATATAGGGATGGGTCTCCATGTTGGTGTATTTTAGTATTTTTGTTGAGTAAATATCAATTTGCCCCCTTAACCTATACCACTAGATTTTCAAATAAAAACTACCACTGGTTTCGTTCTGCGCTTAAAACGGATTTTGTCTTAGTTGAGTCCTCTCACTTTTTAGTTTAGTAGAACATGAGGCTTCCTTACAACTCTGGTTGTATTTTTAATAGCAAGAGCCATGTGACATTCACATGACTGAGTACAATATCCCAACCCCTATTCCTGACCCACCTATGCAATTAGGCCTCACTTTTCCCGTCCTCCATTCTCGTACCATCAACCCATTCTTTACTATCATCAGTGATAATAGAGGACTGGCTCTATTGCCTTTTTCCTCTTATCTCTTATTCTTGCAACTTTAGCTGCAGCTTATCCGCACAACATAGAGATTGACACGCTTTCGAGAACAACATGGAACAGTAGAGGATCCCGAAACACGACGATTACTAGATATTCACGAAATAGAGATGCTGTAATACAATCTTTACCAAAACTTCTCATAGCAGACCAACCCACTATAATGTAAATACCCAAAATGGTGTTGCACCTCCTGACTAAACCATCAACACCAACCATCAGCCCTTCAGCATACGTCTCCAGTGGAACAAACCCAAACTGCAACACCTATTCTCAAACACCATGCACCTAAATAGTAGACCACCACAAACACCATTAAATTGCACACCATCATTGCTACTACCACATTGTTCGTGCACACTTCAAGCACAACCACTATAGAACCAGTTCAAGCTTGAATAATTGTATGTTAGTGTTAAGGAAAAGAAAGAAGAGAAGAAGAAAGAGAATAAGAAAAAATATTGGAAGTAGGGTGAGTATTGCCAACACCTTATCTACTATTTATATAAGATTGATATTGATGACAATTACAATATTAAGAAAGTAAAACATAATAGAAAAAACACATAATAGGAAAGTAGACTAGAAAAGTAGAACAATAAGAAAGTTATACTGTTAGCACTCCCCCTTAAACTGAAACATAGAAATAAAAAATGCTCAGCTTGGAATAAATGCTCATAAAGGTGGACCGCGTCAATGGTTTGATAAGAAAATCACTAAATTGACTGCAATATCTCCACGTAGATAATAAGGATGATAAAACCAAGCTCTAGATGATTGCCTTAGACCATTTAGGGACTTTAATTGACATAAACTACACGATACTCCTCTTGAACAACAAATACACATGGTTGTTCTATATAAGTCTAAGACATCCCTTTTATTTTCTACAGAAGCAATTAACGACCGCCTAAGAAGCACAAATACTGACACGAATAAGACACGATACGAAAACATAGACAATGCATTTCTTAAAAAAATAGGACATTGGCATGTTGGGGGCACACTATAGATAATTGTGTTTTATATGTAATTTATCCCAAATATATATAGTGATAGTGTCATTATTCATAAAAAAGTCAGTACTTTATGACAAGTAAATGTTATGTTTAATCTATGAAGCACGAATACTTCAAAAGCAGGAAAGTATCAGTATCGAATATGGATGCGCGTCCTATACGCCTGGATACGCATTCGATACGGTTCGAAAGTATCTTGAACAAAAAAAGAAGAAAGTTTGAGTTTTGGATACGTCAGGATAAGCATGGGATCCCCAAGAGATACGGAATGGATACGACAGGGTATTACTTGTATTTTTAAAAAAGAACACGGGCACTGTAGCAAATATGTTGGGCCTTTATTTGCGAAAAGAAAAAAGAAAAAACCCTAACCGGCTAACTTATTCGACAGACCCCCTTTAGTCAATGCGTTTGACGTTGACTCTCTCTCACACCTCCGACAGAGTCTCTTGATGCCTATGATGTCTCTCCTCCCTCTTGATACTGTGAAGTGCAGCTTTGACGAGTCTCTCCTCTTTGTTGTCCAGTGTCTAGGTATCATTGGTGTTGTAAGCCCTCTCCTCTCTCTCTCTTTTGCCTTTTACCATTGATTAGCACTCCTCTTTTGCAATTAGAGTTTACAAAACAAATATTGGGGTCTTGAATTAGGGTTTGTAATTAGGTTTTTTTTTTTTTTTTTTCAATTTAAAATAGAAATCTTTCTCACAAATTAGATAATTTTTATAGCTAAGTGGATCAATATTTTTTCTTGAAGAAATTTGAACCAATGATTCTGATTGCACCAGTAGTCAGGTTGGAGAACAAATTTTTTGTTTTTTTATCAGTCTGGAGAACAAGTTCCACATATTTAGGGTTTTTTTTTGTATTATATATTAGGAATCATTTGAACTGCTGCATTTGTACTGTGAAGTGCTACATTTGAACTGCTTATCTGCATTTGATCTGCTAGGTACACTATTTAATTAATTTAATTTGCTAGGTACACTATTGAACTATTTGAAAAACAAATATTTTTTGATTGTTGAGTTACTTTCAAATTTCCATATGGTGTTGGGTGTTGAATTTTCTGAAACATTGGTTGAATTTTTTTGATTGCTGACTATTGAATTTTTTTGACTGTTGATTGTAAATTAGCATTCGTTTTATTAAATTAATAATTATAGGAGAATGAGTACAGGTACAAAAAATATGGACTCAACTAGTGGAAGTGACACTTCTGCTAATCAAAATGATAATGCTCCTATTTGTGGTTGTTTTTCTGGAGTAGAAAAAAATGGGGGAAGGAGGTGGAAATACTAAATTTCAATGCAATTTTTGTTAAAATGAGTGCAGGCTAGGAAGCATAGATACTAGGCGAGGGGTTGCTATGGCAATGTTACACACGTGTCCGGCACAGATACATGTGTCCCATGGCCGGACACTTGTTTGACGCTTTCAAAAATGTCTTGCATAGGAGAAAAACATTTTTCACGATCGGATACGTAAGGGAGGGGTTCTACTTGCTATTTTATAAATTTGAGAGGGTAAAACGAAAATAGAAAAAGAAAAAAAATGGGTGAAACATAGTTCTATTTGTTCCCACTGGTCCATAATAGTGAGAGAGAGAGAGAGAGAAGAGGAGAGTCTCCACTAGATCTTCTTCGACAACCAAAGGCTTCGTTCGAACTTGAACCTCTATCTACTTCGACAACAAGGAGAATAGGAGGAGGAGGAGAAGTAGGAAATCTACTGCTTGTTGTACTGCGAATCTCTCTTCAGATCTGTTGCTTGTTATACTGTGAATCGCTGAATCTAAATCTATTACTATTGCGAATCTAGGTTTGTTTCCTTTTTTTTTTTTTTTTTTTTTTTGGGGGGGGGGGGGGGGGGGGT